TAAGCTCATGTATAGTTTCCATTCGAAGAGAATAAATAATTTTTTTTAGTATAAGAATATATGTATTTGAGAAAAGAAAAAACGACTTAACTTTTACAATAAATAAAAATAGATAATTTGCAAGTTTTTTCTTGTCTATACAACATAAATTTTCATTTCAGTATTTGTATATTGACGTTGTTTATTATATTTCATTGCTCGTGATGAATATAATAAATATTTTAATTCAATACGTTTAATAATTGTCGAAGGACGTCGATGATTTCGTCGATGAGTATGTGAACGATATTGTTTTTCATCGAATAATTCAGGTGATTTTTGAACTAATGTTATTGCGGAAATTGATAAATCGAATTGTTTATACGAATCATTTGACATTGATAAAGTCGATGATAATGGTTGTGAATTTAAAGATTTATTCGATCGTTTTGGTGTTGATGTTAATGGTATATGAAATTGAAATGAATCAATACTTGGAAGAATTGACGATCCATCAATATTTATCATTTTTTCTGTTTCTTTAATGATGTTATAATATCAAATAGAGAAGATATATATATATATAGAAGAAGAAGAAAACAATGCTTGGATTGTATTTATATACTAGCACTAATTGGGCAGAAGAGAAAATTGACTTCCTCCTTATCGAGTAAACATTAACAACTAACTGTTAAACGGTGACAGATAGTATAAAAATGAAAATAAAACAAATATCAATAAGTTCAATTGAAAATAAAACTCAAAAGAAAGGTACTTGAATTCATTTCTCATCTCTTTGAACTTTATTTACTAACGATTAAGTTTTTATTATTAGTATTAATATTTCATATCAATCCTTTTTTTGTGATAAGCATGTCTAGAGAGAGAGAGAAAGAGAGAAAGAGAAAGTTTATTATTTTTTATGATGTTATGTTTGAATGTAGGTGTGAATTGTAAAGCAAAACAATGACGCGTGCCGTATCCGATACACTCAAATAAAGTTAAAACATTGAGCAGACAGCAATTACGCGGTACATATAAAAGTGAAGAAAAATATTTAACACATGTAAATAAGAAATCGATTCATTAATATATCAAGCATTTATCTTGTTTTTAACTTTAGACTAAGAAAACGATTCATATACTCAATTGACTTAAATAATATTGCAAGTTTTTTAGTTTAACATTTATTTATTTATTTTCGAATCAAGAGAAACTAAAATACAAGCGAATGACAATATAAAGAAAAAAAAGAAGTTTTAGATCGCCCATGTTTGTTTAACATTTTGATGAGGATAACATTCAGTTTTTGGACGATAAAGAAGTGAATCAAGTTTTATTACTGGTCGACAACAATTTTCACCTATAATCTCTGGTCGATTATTAGTGTCTTTGATCTTTTTCGTGATAAGATTATAAAAATGATTCGGTGTTGATGATCGTGGTAATGGTGTTAAAGTTCGTTTTTTCGGTGTACTTGTTTTGAATATCATTTTTTTCTTCTTCGAATAATAATAAGATATTTCAAGTAATCAACTTTCTTATTTCTATTCAAATGATTTCTTGCTGATTGCTCTTGATGGTTATATCAATGAAAGAGAGATAGAGAGTGATTATTCACTTTTCTATATTAGCGAATAATTGAAAGAGAAAATGTAAGGAATATATCTGCTAAATTGATTCTTTCTCTCTCTTTCTTTCTCTATCGTTTTGTTCACATTCAAGTGTTGACGATAATAGTACAAGCTGCGTGCTGTTGGGAAATCTGTTCTACTAGTGAGCAGATTTTTTCTCATCCATAACTATCCTGATATTCTTATTAATATTGACAATCGAATAGATTTTTCTTCGTTTTTCTATTTCTCGAAAATTGATGTGATGCTGATTAGGCGTGAAACAAGGCTTTTCGCACACAGTTCTATCCGGTGTATCAAATTGTGTCATAATCGAACAACGAAAGCAGCTGGATAATCTATCTTGCATATCACTATGCAAGAATTTATTATTTATCAATGATGATGATGATGAGAGAACTAAAATGTATGACAATCAGCTAATGAAAATACACAGGTATAAGATATGCGATAAGAGTAAATTACACACGCGCACACACACATATACATAAAATACGAAAAAAAAAGATTTTTGTTTTGTTTTGTTTTTGTGTCGTGACTAGAATTAAGATGAGTATTCAAAAACAAATCAAGTATTTTTTTTCTTTTAACGAGAATTAACTCCCAATAAATGTCGTTCATTAATTCCACTAATAATACTGCTACTTCCACCCATTGATACATTATCTAATGGAGCTCGTACAACAATTGAAAGTCGACCATGTTTAAGTGAAGGAGCCTGAAATGAAACGAAATATTAGATATTTATTCAAATAAAAATAAACAAATTAAAGTATAAGTAATCACTAGATTAAGATAAATTAACTAGATTATGTAAGAAAAGCAGACAAACAAAACAAAAGACATACAAGTTGTGATAATTTATATAAGAGATAACAAACATATAGATTTCATTCAAGCAATTGAATATGTGTAATAAAAAAGATATTTTAAGGTTCAAGACATTATACAACAAACGTGTATATTGAATGTAATCAATTGTTTTTTTTTAAGATGCGAAAATCAAAAGATCTACTGTGATAATGTGCAAAAGGAGGTAATAAAAAAAGGTTTATGCAGGCAAAGAGTAAAATGAGATAATAAATATGTGTATATATATATGTATATAAATATAATTGTGAATATTTTATTACTAGTATATATCCGCGCAATGTCTTTTTTTATATATTAATATTTTTTTGATAACTAAAAACAAAACAATAGCAACAACAAACAAAGAAGAGAAAAAAAGAAGGAGCCATATTCCCAGAAGAGTTTTACAAGAGTTACTAAAGACTACTACCATCACCATCACACCCATCCTTTATTTTTGAAATGGTTGTGTGTGTGTATGGATGTATGTATGTGCATTTTTACATATGCTTGCCCAAAATAAAAAAGTAGAAAAAAAACATGGAGAAACAACGAATATATCTCAATTATTTTGTTTCTTTTAAGAGTAAAATTAGAATAAAATCTATTTTGCTTATCTCGAATTCATTACTTACCTTCTTTTTTCCACCTAATAATAATTCTTTATAAGCTTCTGAACGTAAAAATCGTGCATATGTATCACGATTCATTAGATTAAAGATATGATCCTAAGAAAATTAATTTTACAAAATAAAAAACAAAAAATTATAAATCAAACCTGAGCTTCGTCAAATGTATAACGACTAGGCAAATGAGTCATATTATGTTTGGTTAAATTCATGACACGTTGATCGATATTTATTGAATAATAGGCACCTAGATATACATGTGTTATATTTTTTAAAGACAAAAATTTATCTACCTGGTGAAAGAAACTCATTGTAAATTTCATGTACTCGATTATGGACGTCTTGTTGTGGAGTATGACAACGTAAATGAATACATGCTTCATAAAATCTTAGATTTTCTCCTGAATATTCTTTATCAAGAAATTTCCAGAAATGATCACGACCAATTGGATCTTTAAGCAATTCATTGATTGAAAAACCCCATCGTTTAACACGTCGTGAGGAAATTTCTTTTGCATTACCCATTTTTTCTAATTCCCATAAATCAGTTGAATCAGTTATCCCTAAAAAAATAAGAAAATTTATTTCTTATCAAAATGTCTTCGATTTCACTTTTTTTGTTCTAGTAATTATAAATAAGACAGTAATTTAAACAAAATAAACCTTCAATGATCAAATTACAAAAGAATTTGATCTTATTCTAGACGTCCTTCTGTGAAATGTTTTTGATAAGAAAAAGTTAAGAATTTTAATTATAAGGTTATAAAAATACATTATTTTTATCATTAACTTTCTATAAAAAGAATACTTACATGGATTTGATGGTTCACATGATGTTAGAAATGGATCAAATTCAGCATATTGTTCAAAGTATGAAACATAACTTTCGCAAACTTTCGATGTTTTTAAACATCGTCTATCAATACGATGTTTGAGAAAGTCAATTTCATGAACCAACTGATCGATTAATGCTGTTTCATCACCTTCAGATAATATTGCTGTACGATTTAATGATGTATGTGATGATCGATTTGGTGAAACTGTAGGTCCTGCTGCAAGTAATCCAACTGTCATAGTCATTAGATTTTTATTTGCAGCAAATGCTAATGCAGATGCTGGTGCTGTATTTGATGCTGATGTTGTTGATGATTTTCTCTGAGCATTTGTTAATGAAAATGATGTTAAAAAAGGTGCTTTTCGTCGTTTTAATTTTTTTATATCTTGCTCAGTCATATTAACACAACCAGGTGCGGGTCGATAAACATCCCAAAATGCTCGTTCTTGAGAATCGAGAACATTTCGTTCAACTTTATCACGTTTTTTATCAACTCTAAAAAAATGCCAAAAATAAATTCAATTCAAATTTAATATATTTATATTTACTTGATTTGTGCTTCAGCTTGCATATAAATAAATTCCCATTTACGAGCAAATAATTTTTGAAGTCGTGCTAAATTTTCTGCTTCATAATCAGCTAATTCCAATCGAGTTTTATTCTGCATTGTTCGTTTACACAGATATACAGCTAAATAAAATTATTAAATATGTTTATATACAAGAATTAGTCGAATTAGTATTATAGGTTAGTCTTAGTAGTAGCAAAGTTTTCTACCTCGTTTTACAATTTAATAGATCATCTTTAATTCTGGAGAAAATAAATTAAATATGATAAAAAAGAAATGAAAATTAATCATACCATAATCAATATTATCAGGTTCACCATGATTCGATGGCCAGAAGTAAGGCGTCTGAAAAATACAGAAAATAATGTTTTTTGTTTCTGAATATCGATATATTTACTTGAAATCGATAGAAAGTACCATCATTTTTTAAAGTTAATACATGATCTTCAATAGGTAAAATCTAAAGTCAAATAATGTTTTTTTTTCTAACTTGAATAATATAAATATATTAATCTTACATAACCACAAGATGACATGAGATTAGCTAGATGGAGAGCATCGGCTGAATAAAAATAACATAAATTAGTTTAATTTTACAAGAAATGTATATTTTTACATGTATCATCAACATCAAGTGTCTTTAAAATCCATTGTATTAAATCTCCACCAGCAAAAACACTCGGAATTTTTGACATAAAACTTTTGACAGATTTTATTGGTAAACCAGTATTTTCATCTTGCATTCTTTCAAGCAATCCTTCGATCTATATGCAAAGAATTAATTTTGTATTTTATACTAAAAATTTAAATTACTTTTTTATATGTAAAATAATTAGGAATTTCATATTCTCGATTGATTCCTTCAATGGAATTTGTATTATTATTATTATTTAAAAGAAAATCATTTTGAGTTAATCCACTACTACCAAGTGTACCAATTGAATCATCCAATGGTGTTTGATCATCTGTGTCAGTATGAGAGGTAGAAAAAGTAGTTTGTGGTATATTGATGCGGACCATTTCTAAAGGTGAGTGGTCGCAAATCGAGTCATCATCAGTAAAAGACGCTCGGGTTCGAGCGGCCATTCAATGATAACAAGAGACAACCATGACCGTCACATTATCTAGAATAAAAGAAGAACAAGATGACAAATTCAGTTTAGAATAAATGTTAAAGGCAAGAAACAACATAAATATTCAAGAAATCAAGATAATAAAAGAAGGAACAACAACAAACATCAAAAAAAAACATCTAATAAAGAAAAAAACATGGATGGGATATAGAAGGATTTCAAAATCTTCTTTGTTCGTTTTGCTGCTAATTTATTTTCTTAAATCTGACTTCTTCCACATTGATTTCTTCTTTTTGCACATTAATGATATTTTGTTTTCTAATTAGTTACTGGTGCTAATCTATTGACAAAAGAAATTGCACTACGAGTAATACGACCAACAATTGGTGGACAAGCTGGTCGACTAACTAAATGTTCAACACTTTGACGAAGTTCATAAAATAATGTACGTGTATATGGATTTCTATGTGATGTATAACGTAATGTAAGAAATCGATAATACATAAATATAAGTAATAAATTTGAACGTGCAACAAATATTGATAAAATTAATAATGGCATAAGAATAATTTCATTTAATGCGACAAAACGAAGTAAATTGGCATGTTTTTCTGTAATACGATCAAGATAAGATTTAATAGCTGGATAACTTGTTAATATTTGTGATAAAAATGAACATGAATGTAATATAGCATATGTTGTTATAGGTATAAGAACAATAGTCATTGGTGAACCACTTAGGAACAAAAATGAATACATTAAATAATGTGCACTATCTTCTCGAATTAAATTAAAGAAAAATTCACGTGAAAGTTGAAATGCTGGTATACGTTGTTGAAGACGTAATGCAGATGTAACTGCTGATGAAATTAATGCCTTTGTATAATAAACATTTGGTTCAGAATTTGAACGAAAAAATGGTAGAATATACATTAATGTAAAGAATATTGTTGCTAAACGTGATAGTAATAAAACAGCATCAGTTTTACGTTCCATTAAAACATTAATTAATGAAGGTGATGATCCTGGTGAACGTGGAGGTGTTTGAGTTGAAGTTCTTGGTGGTGGTGGTGGTGATGATGATGAAGCCGATGCAGTATCATTATTTCCAGTTGGTGTTGATGATGATGAATTTGATGTAATATCTTCGACGAGAACCATGATTGATTATTTTTCTCAAAAACTAACGTCAATATATTTAGTTAGATCTAGAGTAAGAAATATTGAATAAAATGTTTCTATTAAGTCAACCATTTTAGGGAACGAAAACCTCCGATAAAAAGTTTTTTAATATTGTAACGTTAGAATCAATGCAAAATAATTTGTTCGATTGAATAATCAATCTGATATTCATCTTTAAAGATGATTTAATTATTATTTATTTTTTTATATGAATTTGTTTGTTTTCAATTCAAAATAAAATCTTACTACTAGCGCTATATAATTCTGATTGGTTGATTTGAAGTAGTTAGCAATACTAGATATATTAGACTTTGTTATTTTTATCTACTCGTACTGAAAAAAAATCAATCAGACGAATGGAATCAAAATCTCATCAATGTTCTATATGTAAAAAATCATTCTCAAGACCAAGTAAACTTCAATATCATATTGCTTATCATCATGAAAAAAAGGTATGCAAATTCACTGAATGTTCCAATAGAAGTATTCATACTATCTATTAAGATTATTATTAGTTATAAAATTCCTGAGGCGATTTTCTAGTTTATATATTCCGAGAAATATTTCTATTGACCTATTCTCTTTTTCAATTAGTTTCCTTTCGAATGTACTCAATGTGGTAAACCATATTCAAATCAAGATCATGTTAATCGTCATTATCGTATTGTACATCAACAAGAAAATATACAAACAAAAAAGTATATTCATAAAAAATCATTGTTTTTATTACATTATATTTATGTATATATAGATTTACATGTTTAATTAATAATTGTACAAAAACATTTGCTAATAAACAAAATCTTGATCGACATATTAGAATAATTCATACAAAAACTAAACTAAAACCTATTAAGGTAAAATTGAAACATTAATCGCTTATTTTCATTAAATTTTCTATTATTATTATTTAGTGTTTTTATTGTTCTGAATTTGTTGATTCATTAGAATTACATTTAGTTACACAACATAATTCTATTTCGATAGATAAATTAAAGTATAAAACTTCTATTGTTTTTTCCTATTGATAAAAAAAATATAAATTATTTAGATGTATTGATTGTTGTAAAGATTTTTCATCCATAAAACGATTAATTCATCATCGTATCATCCATACAGGTATGTTTAAATGCTTGAAGAATAAACCAAGTTCGTTTTTTTTTCTAATTAAAGTTTAGATCATCCATAGACCTTTGCGTGTCTTATACGATTAGTAAAAGGTTGGGTGACCACCTTTGAAGACCGTTAATGGATGAATGTATTACAAATTTTTGTAAAACATTTATCTCATATTTAGATGAACGTCGTGAATTAGATGTTCAATGGACAATGAATCAATTATTAGCTGATATCGAGCGTGAACAAAGTAGATAGAATTTCAATTATTATTTTTGTTAAAATCTAATAAATTTTAGTTTTTAAATGTAATTTATGTAATCGAATATTTCGTTCATTATTTCAACTTGATCAACATCGTAATAGTAAAATTCATCAAGAAAAATTTATATGTCAGCATTCTAATTGTGGAAAAATATTTCTTTATATGAGAAATCTTCGACATCATATCAAGTAAAATTTTATATTTACATAAAAAAACCTAACTTTTTCAATATTAGAATTCATCATGAAGAATTTTCTCGTTCATCTTGTCCATTAAATTCATGTTCAAAAACGTTCACATCTCAAGCATCAATGTGTCGGCATTTAACTCGATGTCATTCATCGAATGATATTATTGAACAAATAAATACGAAACAAAAACAATCTCAGAAACGACAGCATAATATTCGAAGTTTATTAAGTGGGTTTAATACTCGAAAGTTAAATCAAGAGAATGAAATTTCCCAACAAATGAAACAATTATTAAAATTATTAATAAATGAAGATAATCTCGTAGAAATATCCAATGAAAATATGGATACACAAATAACTCAAGATTCTTTCAATCCCGATTTACTTAAAGGTTATAGTGACATTGGACTCGTTGAATTGTGATTTTTCTGTTATCGCGTTATTTTGTTTTTTCTTCTTCCGTTCTTGTTTCTATCGGTGATTTTAATGTTAAAATTTTGTTATCTATTTTATAGATATAAAAACAGAAAAAATATTTATTGCAACGATAATGGCAGAAACAAAATCAGTAAGTATTTCGTTTCTATAATTAATAACACTAGATCATTACTTAGCAAACTAAAATCATTTTTAATGCTCGATACACCTTAAGTCCGATTTTATATCCGGATATTTATGCTTGATCGTAAATAAAATAACTATATACGGTTCTATGCTTCTTTTTATTTCCGTTAGAAAGAGAAAAAGTCAATCTGTTCTTTTTTGATCAAGGTCCGACATATTGCGTGTGCTTTCATTTTTATCTCATAACAGAAAAACAAGATTTAATACTACTGAGTGAAATATAACAGATAGATTAAGAATAAATTCTACGAATAGTTTTTTTTTTGCAGAGAGAAAAACAGACTGAAACTTTCTTTCTATACAAATCGTGTGAAATAATGCGCGTATAATTGCATTCGAACTCCCATTTTCTTCAGATAATATTATCTAATATGGATGTATTACCACAGTTACCACCGGATACTGCACCACTTGAACATCAAGTTGCTGGACATTTTTATGGTCGATCAAAAACAAAATTTGGTTTATTACAACGTTGTTCAACAGGTGATGTTCTTAAACCATTACTTAATCCACCACGTGGTCCACGTGAACATCAATTTTATGATAATATATTTTCTGATAAAATCTCTGGTGAAATTGTTAAACTACGACCATTCCTTCCGAAATTATTGGGTACATATCAATTTGATGGTATGACCTATTTAATATTAGAAAATATCATTCAATCCTATGAATATCCATGTGCTATTGATATAAAACTTGGTCGTGTAACTTATGATTGTGAAGCAACACCGGAAAAAATTGAACGACAAATAGCAAAATTTGAACCAGCAGCTGAAATTGGTTTTCAATTACTTGGATGGAAAACTTATCGTCAATTAGATAATTCATATATTTATCATGATAAAAAATGTGCACGATCATTAACTAAAGATGATCTTCTCTATGGTATGGCGCATTTTTTTGGTGCACCTGAATATGATCATCGGCCAATTGTACGAGCTGTACTTGAACGTCTTGTTGCTCTTGAACAGATTATGGCCAAACAATATGAATTTGTTTTTATTGCATCATCACTTTTGATTGTCTATGATGGTAAAAATAGAGAGAATGATAATATTAAAGTTGATGTTCGTCTTGTTGATTTTGCTCATGTTTTTCCATCATCATCTAATACTGAACCAGATGAAAATTTTCTTTTTGGTCTTCGTCATTGTATAAATTATCTAAAAATGTTGATTGATGATAAATTCCAGTATATATCTATTGATAAATTAGATCATACAACTAATTTATCAACATCAACTTGTTATAAAACATTGTTAAAATAATCTCATATTGTTCTATTTACGTTCTCTTATTTATAAATACATGAATATTATTTTTGTTTGAACAGTATACCATTTTATGTTATAAATAAATATCTAAAAACAAAAATAAATTAATTTTGTTGTTAAATTCTATTCTCTTATTTCTAGACACACAAAGTCGAATATCCAGTTGATTATGATTTGGAAGAACATCAAAAGAAACCACATCATGCATGTGATTTACTTCGATATGATTTAAAAATGTGTTTATTAGCTAGTGATTGTTGTAAAGTAATAAACTGAATCTTATCGAATATCAACGTGTTCTTTTTTTCTGTTATCTAATAGCTTGGACATACACCAAAGGAATGTCTTTCAAATGAAAAATTACGTGAATTTGTACCTGAGGAATGTCGACGTTTAGCTTACACATTTTTTGAATGTAAACGATCAATGGTAAGAAAATAAATTAACCATATATATATATTCGATATTTCGTTTCCTTTAGATCGATATGCGTTCTCGATTTCGTGGTCGTAAAGGTGAAATATATTAACTAGGATAATAACCTTTTTTTTCTCTTTGTATTGTTCATTCTCTACTTTTTTTTTTACATATAAAAGATATCCAAAAAAAAAGACTTTCTTTTTGCATGATTTGATATACATATAGTCTTGCAGATGTATTATTCTTCAGTTATATTAGCTCAACGTTTACCAAATATAATTTTACGAAGATATGTATCGTCAGTTACGGATTTATATAAAGGACTTATTAATGGTGATCGAGGTTGTCTAGCGAAAAGTATTACATTAGTAGAATCAACACATGTAGAAAAACAACATAAAGCGAAAGAATTACTTGCTCAAGTTTTACAAGGACTTAAACAACGTCAAGAAAAACAAGCAAATAAACCAATTAGTTTTCGAATAGGTTTGATAATGAAGAATTATTTTCATATATGAATAATATTTGTATTGTAGGACTGAGCGGAAGCCCCGGTGCTGGTAAATGGTAAAAGTTTATTTATATCTCGTTTTTAAAAAACAGAAAAGTGTTTGAATTTTCATTTTAAATCGGCTAATTCTTTCTTTTTATAGAATTGTCGCTGTTTTTTTATATATGGTATTTTGTTTAGGAAAATCAACATTTATTAATGTTTTTGGTCGATTTTTACTTAATCAAGGACATAAAGTAGCTGTATTAACAGTTGATCCATCATCATCTACTACTGGAGGTATACGAATTAATCATTATTTCAATTATATATATATTTTAAAAATTTAGGTTCGATACTTGGTGATAAAACACGAATGCTTGAATTATCACGTGAACCAAATGCATACATTCGTACATCACCCTCTGCATGTACATTAGGTGGTGTAACTCGAACAACGAACGATGCTATTGTTCTCTGTGAAGCTGCAGGTTATAATGTTATTCTTGTTGAAACTGTAGGTATGTTAAAAATAAAAATTATAATAACTTTAAATTCGATATGAAATATTTTTATTAATCAAAGGTGTTGGACAATCTGAATTTGCTGTCGTAGATATGGTTGATATGTTTTGTGTTTTACTTCCACCAGGATCCGGTGATGAACTACAAGGTAAATAAAAAGTTATTTCTCTGTTTTTTTTTTGTTATTTTATGAATACGATTTAGGCATGAAAAAAGGTATTATGGAATTAGTTGATTTAGTAATAGTAACAAAAGCTGATGGTGATTTAATGCAGGAAGTTCGTCGTTTAAAATCGGAATGGTTAAGTGCGCTTAGATTAATGCGTCGTCGATCTGAGAATTGGTCACCAAAAGTAAATATAGATTTAATTTCATATAATTATAAATTTTAATGAATCGTATAGGTTATATCAGTTTCAGCACGTAAAAATGAAGGTATTGATAAAGCTTGGTCACAAATGTTTGCTTTTGAAAATACAATGATTGACTCAGGTGAATTTATGAACAAACGTTCTCAACAACTTCGAAAATGGATGTGGAATAATGTTAAAGATCGAATGCTTGATCAATTTTTAGCTGATAATGATATACAAAAAGCTATTCAAACTTATGAAGATCGTGTTATTCGCGGACTTGTAACACCATTCGTAGCTGCTGATGCTATTTTGAACCTTTTTTCTAAAGTAAAACCGAACAAAGATATATAATTATAACATTGCACAATAGAAATTTTATTTATCTTTTATAAAAAGATGATATTTATAATCGATAACGATGATAACTTATAATAAATAAACTTTGATTACGAAATAAAATCAGAATACTTTTTTTCATATATCATTTTATCAACATGAGGAAAAATGTCAAATAACAAGAGAATGATTTATAATACAAATGTACTGACGAGTTTCTGAAATTTGACTTTCTTTTTTTGGTTTATCTACATATATCAGTGTTTACTTTGTAGTTATTACTATACGCATTTGATCTAACAAAGTACTAAATCTTTTTCTTCATTTGTTCTTATTATATGTTGAATATAACACGAATAATATTATAGAATTTGATTTTTATGAAACTTCTAATATAGATTAAAGTAATGTTCAACATAATACTGTTTTGCATGAGTATAGACTATAGGAGAAGCAATGTTCCTTTTTGCTTTAAAAGTTTGTTATTGAAGATAGTAAAGATGCGATTCATATCCTAATTATACTGTATGTCAAAGCATGTCTTCACGATCTACTTATCATTATATTGGTTTATACAGCACTATTGAAGTTAAATCATTGTTTATAATAAGTTATGAGAATGGTCTCAATCCAAATAGAGCTTTCAACCATTAGTTATTGCAGTTCTACATTACAGCTGTTCAATTAACCCTGAAGCGCCCATCTGAGGTCCGCACGGACCCCAGTCGAAAAAGAGGTGTTTCGAAACTTCTATGTTTCTACCATCAGATCAACAGTGAAGGATTGAAATTAAGTGACGTTTTTAGGCAACACACGGCTCATCTGTCATACATGAAATGAACCAATGAAAGCGAAACATCGTTCTTAAATGATTATTTCTTAAAACGCTCAAATTTCGAGCAAATTACAGGTGGGCGCTTGAGGGTTAATATAAATACTGTTGATTAGTAAAAACGAGCATATTTTTGATATTTTATAATGTTTTTCACAGTTTATTTATCCTTCATTATTTTCCATTTTATGATATCCTAATAAAAAATGAAGCAATAGTACCTTAAATAGTTGACAAGTTGTATAAAAACAAAAAATTCTAACAGCATAACGAGCGTATCGTTTATTGTATTGAAAGAAAAGTTTTTCATCTTTTATTATGTATAAGAACAGATAGGATGTGTGGATTAAACAATAATCAAGAACCATTAAGGATTAAATTTATTTTTACAAGACAATCACGAAATAACATTTTCAAACAAATTGATTATCATTTAATTGAATTTTTTTCGTTCGAAATTTTCAAAAGTAGATATGTTGAATATCAAATGGATGATGTTGTTGAAAAAATTAAAATAGATTTTTATCATTTGATAGTTTTCTATCAACTAGTTTTAACCAATAAATAATATTCAAGTCAATCTATTAATTGTATCAAATCCATTTGTTTCATTAAACAGAATGAAATAAATCAAGAAGAGTTTCTGACTAATTAATTTAATATTAAAAGTAACTCACTGAGCTAAATGACTAAATTCATGCCTTATATAGATGAGAGTGATGCAATAAATTAAATCCACTTACTATTGCTTGAAACAATAATCAAAATTAATAAAAGAAAAAGTTGTTCATCGACCTTATCTTATCTATCATTAAATTATTATCAAATTTATTTAATTTATTCACGTATAATTCTTCTTTTTAGCTATTACTTTTTTCTATATTTTATTCAATTCAAATACGATAAAGTAAGTATTTTTATTCGAAAATTCGTAAGAATGTTTATCTCATCGGATAAAAGATAAATCATAACAGATCATTTCTATTTTAATATAAATATAAGAGATTATTGTATACAATATTTCATTGAAAGATTAAATGAATCAATTAATAATATTGGCAAGGAACTGAACTTTGTAACCTTCTATTTTCGAATATATAATTCGAAAAACATATGTCTAGGTATTTTTATGTTTAACGCTATTCGTACTGAATAGATTCAACATTCTGAATTTGAGGTTAACTTAAGGTCATACTTAAATAAAGTCTTAATAGAATATTGTCTTTTGTTATAGAAGCAGATCGTTAGTTTTCTCTTTATTCAATTGAAATAGAAAACTTTATTTTAGAAATTATTTTCGTTTATCATATATGACTATCTATTTTCTGAACTTTTCTTTTCGAAGCACGTGATTGTTAAATAGCCACAACGATTGTTGTAGACGATATCATATTTTTTATCATCCGTATTTCCCGTTCTTTTTCGAATTTACTTCTCTTAGTCGGCTATCTATCGTTTCGTATAGTATCATTATCCTATTTTCTTTTTCTGTTCTCTTTCAATTCCAGGCCTGTATAATCGTGATAATAGACAACTCTGACTATCTAGACGATGCAACAATGTACACTAGTAGCGTCTACTTACTCTTTTATTCGCTTTTACTGTCTGTGCACCCAGAATATATCAGCAACGAAATGGACGGGAGAAATCATTATGAATTCTAGAGAAAACGTGCCCATACCTCTCTCTCTTGTCTCACTATTTATTAAGCACTTTTATCGACGACGTGATTATTAGTCGATCTTTCTCTTTTTCTTTTAACTTTTAACCTATTTGTGTGTGTGTGTGTGAGTGTGTAAACTAACAACTACAATGATCTCAAAAGAAAATGTAAGTCTTAGAGATTTTCTTATCTATAAAGAAACTTTGAACAAAAAAAAAATCTTTATTTTAAAATAGACTTTTACCATGGGAACAAATTACCCATTAATCGATCGTTCATTTAACCCATCTGGTGCATTAGGTAATTTACTTGATGATACTTTACCAAATCATAATGATTATGAACAACAACATCTACAACAACTACAACAACAACAACAACACCAACAGCGATCAATGTTAATGATGAATGGAACAGCTAATTTACCACAATGGTCAATGCCACAAATAAATTTTGCATCAACACCTTTAGTCAAGTAAAGAAAAGAATATGTTGAATATTTATTATTATAAAATATATTGAAATTTATTTTAGTATGTGTTCTGATGAAAAATTACTTCAATTTTTAATGAGTAAAGATTTTACGGCACGTTATGCTGGTGATGATGATCAATATGAAGAAGATCGTTATTTACAAGAAAGACATCAAAATATTCCTCCTACATCTTTACTTGAACAAATGGTATGATCTGATATATTTTTTTTCACTTAATTATTATTATTTGTTTTAGCAATGTCTCACAATTGATAATGATGATAGTCGATTGAAATTAGCTGCAGCAAATGAACGTCGTCAAGCCACTCGTAAGAATTTCTACATATAAAAATATTCGTCTTTATACATCTTTATATAATTTCTAGGCCATTTTGGTAAAGTTAGTCAAAATATGTGTTGGTGCGCACCATTACCTGTTAAACCACGTGCTTATTCAATTAATCCTCCTTCACTTTCAAATAAAATATTTCTTGGTGGTATTCCGCATGATCTTAATGAACGTAAGTAGAGACTATATTTATTTTATGATTTAAAATGATTTTGTTTTTATCAGGTGAATTAGCTACTCGTCTTAGTCAATTTGGCCCTGTTCGTATCGAATGGCCGGCTGAAAATAATCGAACACGTCGTCGAACTAATCACGGTAAATATTTATTTTCATTTATTTTCAATTCTATATTATATATTTCTAGGCAAATCTGGATATGCTTATGCAATTTTTGACAAAGAATCGTCTGTACATGAATTACTTTTAGCCTGTTGTCAACAACCACAACGTAATTCTGATGGTCGTTGTGAATATTATCTTAATCTTAATAGTCAACGGTCAGCATCAAAACGTAAAAGTGTAAGTTATTGATAAGTTGTTTCTATTGACATTGAATAATTTCTTCTTCTATTTTAGATTCAACTTATACCTTGGTTTGTAAGTATTTAAATGATATTTAAATAAATTAAATAATAGTTTTCTTTATCTTCTAGACGGAAGATGCTCAATGGATGTCATCTAATCGACATGATGCAGCAATGTGTGAACTACTCAAAGATGATCCATATAAGACCACAGTCTTTGTTGGAGCTTTGCATGGTATTTTAGTTTTAATATATATTTAGAATAAAAACTAATTGAATTTAGGTATGATGACCGCATATGCACTTGCTCGAATATTTTCTAAACTATTTGGTGAAGTTGATTTTGCGGCTATTGATACTGATCGTAATAAATATCCTATTGGTAAAATATTTATTTCTATTTCTATTTAATTTATATATATATATACTTATTTAGGATCCGGCCGAGTAATTTTTACTAGTATTCATAGTTATTTCAGTGCCATGACGGTTAGTTTTTGTTTAAAAATTAAAATTTTAAATTAAATTTTTTTTCAATAGGCTAATTATGTATTTATTGATTGTGAACGCTTTTCTAAAGTGGTAAGTAAAATAGAGAATAAAATCTGATACGAATATCATATTTATTTAGATTCAACTTGATCCTTATTTGGTGGATGCTCAAACATGCAGTGGTGCAAATGGTCAATCATGTACTCAATTGGGTAAATATTTCTGTCGTTCACTTGCTTGTTGGAAATATTTTTGTGATAAATGTTGGACTAAAGCACATACTGGTATCAATAGTCAGCAACCATTAACTGAAGCACTTGCTCATAAACCTCTCATGCGCAATGCTAGTGTATCTTGATTTCGTTTTCTTCTGTGTTTTCCTTTTCTGTTGTTTGAAAGTAAAAGTTATGCATTTCTGTTAGTTGTTTTTTTCTTCTTCTTCTTTGTGTTTGAGATGCATTTCATGTTCGTCTATATCTCTGTTGAATGGTTCAATTGTTTGTGTTCGTTTTTTTTCTTTTTGTCTCTTTCTTTCTCTTGTTCCACTGTACCGGTGATCCACTCTAATGAAGCTGGACTTCGTCGTGTGTTGTGTGAGTAATTTTCTTGCGTCTTTTTTTCTCTATATGTATGTTTTTCTATTATTATCCTTTTTTTTTTGTTATTTGTTATTGATGTTTTCTTTTCGTGCATCTTTAAGATATTGTACTTTGAAAAAAAAAGACAGATAGAATGATTGAATATACTTCGTTGGTTAATGATTATATTATATATTTTTTTTCTAATACAGTTGTAAGTAAATATTACTTTATGATATCAGCATCGAACAGTACTCTCAACAAAGGAAGAAGAAGAAGAAAAAAGAGGAGAAAAAATGGTCATATTGATAATGGCTTATATAGAGGAGAATTTACGAAGAACAGAAAAGAAAAACTTATGGTAATAAGGCATAAAAAAATAAGGAAAGAAAAAAACGTGGCCGAGACCATTATCGAATGCAAAAGAGAGGCCATATCGGTATTTATATAAGAGAACGAAAAGCATTCAGAGGTTAGATATGTACCGTTGCAACTTGTACTGAAAGAATAACAAGTTTATCAAACAAAAAAAGTTCCGTAAAAAATAATACTCACGATGATTTTGCCCATTGCTTTATTAATTAATAATGTTGGTTTATTCATTTTGGAAATCATAGGATATCATACTTGTCACAGTGGTATGTATGTTTTTTCTTTAAATAATATAATGAGAAAATTAATCCTCTCGTTTCTCTATTGGTTGAAACAGTTGTTATGCTACTTGACGGTTATTATCATCTATGTCAAGCTATTTTATGTACAGTGCGAATTGTATCACAGCGGGTAAAAAAAATTTAATTAATTCAATAAAAAAAAGTCAAACTTTATGGTTTTATTTATAGATTCAATTTACATATACATCTCGACATACATATGGCTTAGCTCGAGGTAAAATTTAATTATGAATTATGTAATATTGATATATTTTTATTTATTAAGTTGGTGTGGTTGGTGAATTAGTTGCCTTCATTAGTTTTTTTTCATTATCTATTTCGGTTTTTCTCGAAAGTATTAAACATCTTGTCGATGTTATTTTCGTAATACCCAAACGAGAAACGAATAGTTCAACATTATTTACTGCTCATGGACATGGTAAATGAAAAACGAAAAAAAAACATTTTTCTATATTAAATATAAATAATATTTAGAGCATATACACAGTCTTATTGATCATCCAAGATTTATTCTTAGTGTTGGTATCTATGCAACTCTTTCCAATTGTTTATTAGGTGTAGCAATACTTTGTACGTAAAATTTCGATTAATTAAAATCAAAAGAAAATATTTTATTTTAGATGCTGTTATGAAAAGTTCACATGCATTCAATAAACAAATGAGACAAAGACGACCAAGCCTTCATCAACCATTACCAAAAAAATTATTATCTGATTCATGTATGTATGAACAAATTTTTTTTATCATTATGAGATATCATATTTAATTATAATTAATCCGGATGTAGATCTTATTAATATCCTTAGTAATCTGATTTTTTTCTTCTTCTAGTGCTTATTACAGATACATTACCTATTCAACACTCGTTTCTACAAGTATTAAATATGTTACTTGGTCCATTAGCTATATTAGCATGTGGTATTTTATTGATAATGCTATCAGAAAAACATCAAGTTCGCGTTATGTACAGTCGTCTTGTTGATCCAATTATTTGTTGTTTTCTTTTTCTTTCATATCTTATTATGATTTCTGTTCCAAGTATAAATATTATTTATTATTTAATTATCTGTATTTATTTTTACTTCATCATCTAGTTCGAGATGTCATACATCTTGTTTTACAAGCTAAACCATATGGACTTAAATCGGATGACATTGAAACATCAGTTATAGCTTCTGTATGTTATTTGATCTATTCAAAAAAAAAAAGAAACTATAATTTGTTTTATTAATTAGGTTCCAGGTGTTGTAAAACTTCATGAACTTCATATATGGCGTTTAACACCTCAGAAAACATTAGCAACTGTTCATGTAGTTTTTAATACAACCGAAAATATTTTAACTAAATATCGAGATATTAATTACATATTTGAAATGCATCATATTGATCATGTGACAATTCAACCAGAATTTGCACTGGTTAATTTCGATATATATTTATTTTGTGAAACTATTTTATTTTATTTTTAGGGTCCGGATGAAGCTGACAAACTTGATTGTCGATATCAATGTTGTGAACAATCAAAAGCGATAGTACCTAATAAATCTGTGTCTATAACACCACGAAATTCACATTTTCATCGTCGTAGTAGTGTTGGTTTGCCTGCAGCAGATAGTGATAGTGAATTAGATCGAGAAACTCCTTTGATGAACAATTCAAGTAGTATTATTTCTTCCGCATCAACAGCAAACCCTTCAACAGTTATTGCTATTCATGATAAAAATTAGAACATTTTTCTTTATTTTGTTTCTCTTCTATTTTTTTTGTGATATAATAGTTTTAATCTTTAGCGACATTGATCATAATAAATGATCAATAAACTGTTTTATTTCAAAGATATATTCACTTTTAATGCAATTTTTTAACTTCTTTTCGCATATTAATCAATAAAGTTACTACTCAATTTTAAAGATACTGTTTTTACATTCAACAATAATTTATGTTTGTTGAAATCGAGTTGAGCAAAATATCTGTGCTTTGCTAAAAAATAATATGGCATATCTTCGATTAATTATGTAGAATAATACGATGTTTAGTATTCCTGATAGTATGTAGAATACAAATGTTAATAGGTATAGAATGATCTAAATAACTATTCGAGATTGTTCTGCGAACAAATTTTTATGTTTTTTTCCATAGTGGTATATTTTTAGTTGTTAACAAAAATATTGTCCAATTATCAGCTTAAGAAAAAAGCTGTTTAACTTGACAACACTTCTACAATCTTAGTGCAATCGCTTCAGGACTGTAGTTCTTAGAAACAATGCGATATGTAACTAGCGTTTTAATTGTGCAAGAAAGTAGTGCAACATGTTAATTGTCTAGCCTAAGCTTTCATATTTGCGTGCAACAAGATTCTCAAATGATCACACAGGTAGAAAAAAAGAATTAGTGCGAGTATTGTCTTCTTCGATAAACAAAGTTATTGTATCCTGGAAAGTAATGTTGTTTAGGTGAGTAATCAACTTCTTTGATCATTCTAGATCCACAAACAACCGAGCGCAACAATCAGCGGTGTTTACTATTAGTCCATGCACGGAATACGTTGATGAACATAGATGTTTTCAAAGATAAACTACCGGCAGACCATAATATCGACACGAAAAAACCTACTCGACTCTACATCATTTTGTTGTCTCTAGCTTTTGGTATCATCATTTTCTTCACAAGTTTTAGTCTACAAACACGCACTATCACAGTTCTATCACCATCTCAAACAACATTTTCGTACTTGCAAGATCAACAAAAATCAAGTCTCTCATGTTTATGTTCACAGACCTCTATTCAACACGATGTATTTCTATCGATTTCACCTCATTTACACCAGGTATGTTCTAGCGATTTCGTTGCACAACAATGGTGGGGTTATCTGTGGGGGATAGATGCTGTAAGTAATTTTCTGGATCTTCAACTTCTTAGCACTCAGTTTCGTGTTCTTGCATCATTATGTTCATTAGCACAGCAATCTATCGACAATGACACAAGTGCATTTCTTACCGATAAATTAGTCACTCTAGAAGCAATGTCATTAAGTTTATTTCAAGCTCAAATTGATTCTCTTACAACTGCATTTATTGCTCAAACACCAGACAAATTCCGTCGTACTCAATCATTCATTTATGAAACATTTCGTGCAAATCAGCTTCTAGTTGTACCTGAAACAAATTGGCAATTAGCTTTTACAACTGCGGCAAATAATTATGTCATTGCCACTGTGCCACGTATTTCATTTGGAACCAATTATTCATGTATCACATCATTAGACAGCTTCTCACGACCTTTGTATATTGATGCGAATTATAATACAACAGTATTACCTGGTGTGGTAGCTAGTTGTCTACCGATTGATGGTATTCGTCTGTCTACTTTAGAATGTTTCTTTGATTCAAACTGTATTCTTAACTTGACAAACATTGCATCAACACGCAATACCACTATTTGGATTGCCAAACCGCTCAATGCTTCAACACCCAGTAATTATACTTCAAATAGTCTCATAGGCAGCCTCGTTGATAATTTATTCGTGGAAGATTGGGGAATTAAAAGTAATTATTCAAGCTACTACGCTTCGTGTGCTCCATATTCGTGTTCATACAAATACATTGATCACAACACAATACTCTACATAATCACAACTATGCTTGGACTGTATGGTGGTTTGGTAGTGATTTTTCGTTTTATTGTCTGGTATGGATGGCGTATGTATGGAAAGATAATGGGATGGATGCGAATCGCTCCTCATGTAACACCAGCACGAGTAGTTCCTTTTCAGCCAGCTATTCCTATCGAATGAAGACTAAATCATAACTTTTAAAAACAGAATCTTTGTTGTATTGCTTTTTGTCTCGTCACTTCATATTTAATCAATACTGCTTCTTGTTTCATCATTTTATCTTTAATCAATAAATATATGTTACAAATATCAAGTCGATTTTCTACTATTTTTGCCTTCTGTCTGAGGTGACGAAAACAGAAAAAAGAACGTGAACAAACATGAAGCATCACCCGATTCTAATACTGTTAGATTGTTGGATCTCGACATCAGCTACGACGAAAAGGGTGTGGGTTTGAATGTCAGTATTGTCTTTACTTAACATCCATACCCACCTGTACCTAGATCCTAACACACACACACCCTCAAGTACTTTAATAGGCCAAATTAATAATTCAGAATCATTATCATATAAACAGCAAACTCCCCCAAAATTGATAACTACCCCGAGACAAGCTTTGTCACAATTCTTATTTGGAAAATTTTCATATTTTACCTTTTTAATTTAAATACCATACTCGTTAGACCTGTAATAGTCAATTAAATAATTAATAAATTAAAAGTTTTTCATTGACGTGATTTATTAGAGTTATAAGTGAATCGATTGCATTGATTTAGTTGTATATCTTTATAGAATAAATAAAGAATGTTTAGCATTTGAGACTACTTTGAAATAAGACACACAAACGTTTTTAAGATCTTTTTCGTTTATTTTAATGTCTTTTACAAATCTAACAAACAAACAATACTGCCTACATTTTAACAAAAACAAGTTCATATCTTTTATCCATTGGTTCTTGCCCAGAATTTGATTATATTAGGAATATGTTCCTGTAATGAACTAATACTTGTTTGATCACGACTTTTATCTGATATATCTTGTGTTTTAAGAGTATTCTGACGATAATAATCTTCATCCTCTTTTCGAATTAATTGCCAATCAGGATTAATAGCACTTTTAATTTTCATTTCACGACTATTAAACCAGTATCTTTTCATAGTTCATTATTTAGTACTACATTATTTTCAAGAATCGAAAAAAAATATCAGAAATTTCTTTATCATGAATATCTGTTCCGTGTTAACAATTTTAAAGACTCTCAGTATTGTGTAACTAGGAAAACGATGGTTAAGAAATGCAAAAGCTTCGAATATATATTCATCAATTCTCAAACGTATAATCATCTAGACTGACATCTACAAAGAGTTGTGTTATGTAATACAAAAGAGTGATGACCTTTCATTTTTGAATAACTGAGTCATTCGGAGTGGTATCAAGTAAAGAACAAGAAGATGTATGATGTTTGAAAAGAAAAGAAAAAGCATCTCTATCTAAACTTTTTGTTTATCTAAGAATCCGCATGCTTGTGTCCTTAAAAGCTAAGCGCTGTACTTTTGCTATTTATTCATATTTTTGTTCAGTATTATCTTTTTTAGATCAATAGATTTGATCGTATACAATCAGTATTTAATCGTACATTTCTTTCATTAAAAAATCTCAATACCAATCCAAATTCAATGAAACGAGATCAATTTTCAATATTAAATCATCATTGTTCATTATATCAACCTTCAGACTTATCAAATGATGGTGAACAACAAGCAGAAACATCTTTACAAACTTCCAGTCAAAGTAATAATTCATTATCATATACAATAATGACAGGTGCAAATCATAATGGTATGGAATCTGCATCAAATAATTTTAAACGTACATTACAAACAATTCCCGGTGTATTTTGTCCCATTGCTTTATCTATGTTAGCCATATCTATCTTTATGCGTATCGGTTTTGTTCTTGCTCACGCAGGTGTTTTACAAACATTATTACAATTGAGTCTTTGTTTTATAATACTTTTTTGTACATTATTAAGTGTTTGTTCATTATCAACAAATGGTGCGATAGAATTTGGTGGGATTTATCATATGATATCACGTACACTAGGACCAGAATTTGGTGGTGCAATAGGAGTTTTATTTTTCTTTGCACAAGTTATTGGTAATGGACAAAGTGTAGCAGCTCTTGTTGAAGCATTAGTTGATAGTTTTGGACCGGGAAGTAAGAAGATTAAAACTATTAAGAATTCTTATAAAAATCACATTTAGGTAAAGCGAATATATTTCATGGTACACATTGGTGGAGATTTATCTATGGAACATTAATTAATATACTTAGTTTGATAACATGTCTATTTGGTTCAGCATTATTTTCTATGGCGGCATTTTCTATATTTATTCTTGTTAGTTTTGTTTATCTTATGATTGTAATTTCATTTTTTATTCGTGGTCCACATCTTGTCTTAATACCAAAAGTGAATATCTATGCTTATAATACTGAACAGCTATTATATAATAAAACAGATTTTCTCTATGGACATTTTACTAGTTTTAGTTTAACAACATTAAATGAAAATATGTATTCAAATTATACAATTGATTATACAACTGGAGATACAATGAATTTTGTTACTGTTTTTGGTGTACTCTTTTCAAGTATAATTGGTTTATTAGCTGGTGCTAATAGAGTAGAATGGGGTAATTAACTATATAAAGAGTTAGATTAAGATTGATGTATATATGTGTCTTTCTTTTCAGGTGGATTAAGTAATCCAAATCGAAGTATTCCAACTGGATCTATTTCGGCTATTATATATGTTTTTATTATTTATATTATTGAAACATTACTTATAGCTGCAACAACTGATCGGTTTGTTAAAATATCTTTTCTTTTGTAATAGAATTCATTCTAATCTTTTATTTAAGATATACTTTATTAAATAACTATTTATTTTTACAAGAAATTAATATTTGGCAACCATTTGTAACAATTGGAACAATATTTGCTGTATTTTCTGCATGTTTATCAAGTTTAATTGGTGCATCGAGAATACTCGAAGCATTATCTATTGATGAAATCTTTGGTAAACATATTTTCTATTAAATAATTTTATATGTACATCCGTCTATTTTATTTTAGGATCATTACTTCGTTGGATTAGAATTGGTACAACTAATCGTGGTAATCCAGTTGCAGCTGTATTCTTAACTTTTATTCTTGTTGAAGTATGTCATATCTACATAAAACAAGCTTACTAATAATAATTTTTTAGCTAACTTTATTGATCGGTTCATTGAATAAAATAGCTCGTATTGTAACAATATTCTTTCTTCTCGCGTATTTTGCTGTTAATTTATCGTGTATGGCACTTGCTTTAGCATCAACACCAAATTTTCGGCCATCATTTAAATATTTTTCTTGGCATACAGCATTAATCGGTGCAATTGGGTCGATTATTATGTGTTTTATTGTATCAACTTCGTATGCGTCAATTGCTATTGGAATTGTAATTGGTCTTATTGCTATGTTACATTTAAGAGATTTTCCACGAGCATCATGGGGTTCAATATCTCAAGCATTAATCTTTCATCAAGTACGAAAATATCTTCTTCTACTTGATCCACGTAAAGAACATGTGAAGTTTTGGCGTCCACAAATCTTATTACTTGTTTCCAATCCACGTTCATCAATAAATTTAATTGATTTTGTTAATGATATGAAAAAAGGTGGACTTTTTATTTTAGGTCATGTGAAAAAAAATCATATGAACGATGATTTAAATGATCTATTTATAGAAGAATATCCACATTGGGTTTCATTAATTAATCTTATGAAAATAAAAGCATTTGTTGATATGACATCAGCATCAAATATACGAGATGGAGTAGCACAGTTAATGAGATTATCGGGTTTAGGTATTTTTCTGAAATCATATAAACTTTATTTAGATAATTTTATTATAGGTGGTCTTCGTCCGAATACAATAATTCTTGGTTTTTATGATAGGACACTTCCAGAAGATAAATTATTTAGTTGTTCTAGTCATAAACGACGTTGGTTCAGATCGAGTTCATTTATAAATACATCAGCGCTTCGACAACGTCGAAGTTCTACTATGGAAAATATTGATACAACAAATGATATATATTCAATCTTTCATTTTCCAAGTATATATACCGTCTATTTCTGAAAGTATTTTATATTCATTATTATTATTTAGAATTACGACAAGAAGATGAAGAAAAAGAACTTGATATTTATTCCTATGTCCAAATAATTAAAGATGCATTATATCTTAATAAAAGTGTTTGTCTTGCAAGAAATTTTTCACTTTTACAAAAAGATGAAATAGATTCTAATCAGAAAAAAGTTTTTATTGATATTTGGCCGGTAAGTTTATGTCTTATTTTTGTGACCGAAAAAATTATGATCAATTTTAGGTTAATTTTATATTTCCCGAAACATCTACACAATTTGATGTAACATGTCTTTATATGTTTCAATTAGCAACTATACTTTCAATGGTAAAACCATGGAAAACACGTGCAATATTACGTGTTTTTCTTTGTATTGATGCTATAAATGAGAATGCACTTCGTGCACATTATTATCTTGATGAATTATTAAATCAACTTCGTATTAATGCTCAAACACGAATGATTGCATGGGAAAATGTAACAAGTCTTCTAAATAATCCTTCAACAATCAATCAAGATCCAGCAATTATTCCTATTGAACAAGAATCAACAACAATAGCAGCATCATCAAATTCATTTGTTGATGTTAATGATGATTATATTCGAGGTATTAATGAACTTATTCGTCAGCAATGTGATAATACATCATGTGTTTATTTATATCTACCACGACCGCCACGTGATCAAATTCTTTCGGAACGTTATATACGTTTTCTTGATATGTTATCCATTGGTTTACCACCAACTCTATTTGTTCATGGTGTTTCATCTGTAACATGTACACGATTATAATTCAAAGAAGAATTCGAATTTTACTATGTGCTTTCATTTACAAAAAAATTGTATATATGATAATAAATAATATCTGTCATTAAAATTTTCTTAAATAAATTCAATATATAAAAGAATTCTAACAAATTGAACTAATAGTAATCAACATTGTCCAAAGAAGCTTATTGTATTTAATCGAATGAATTAGTGAATCATATATCATACTCAATAAAGTATTCATGTCATATCTATACAAGGTAAAGAGCTTTATGTAAAATATGGCAATGTAGAAAAGAAAGAAAGACTTCAAATGAATTTTCTGAATATTGATTTTCAGATTATCTTGAAAAAACACTTGAACTCTAATTAATGTTTAATGTATTTATTCATCATCAAATATTTTCTTCTTATTTACTGATTAAGATCAGTCATCAGTGTCGTCAATGATCAAAACTCAATGTGATGAAGCGCTTTTATTCTAACGATATACATACTATTTTCTCACGCCTCGTTATCAAGTGATAACAAGAGTTGACAGCTTTATATCTCCGTAGTTCTATAGACTATCAAATGTTTTTCAAGTTTTGATGAACATTTTTTATGGAAAAACAAAAATTCATTAGAATCGATCTTTTATGGAAAGGTTAAATGATTATAAAGTTTCTCTGAGAGAAGATAGTAGCTATCTATGTTATTGTATTGTTTGAAATTTTTTTAATAATAATTTAAAGTATGTAATATAGGAGATTTTTGAATTTATATTGTATAATCAAAAAGAAAGTTTGTCGGTCAGAAAACAAATATTCTCATTTATAAGATTGATCATTATTTGTATCCAACATACATTCGGGATTTCTGATCGATTAGGTGATTTCGTTTTGTCGTGCCAAATGTGACTTATGTCTCGATCGCGCAATCACACCCCGCGAGAGTCGCTTTTTTTGCCGATGGCACACATCGTTCATGTTTGACAAGTTCCTATACTTCTCTCTTCGACAATGAACTGCAATATGGCATCAATATGATCAGTATCTCTAAGGAATTGACAATATACATACACAACACTCTCGTTTCGTCCGGCTAGTGTCGCACGCAATGATTGCGATTTAATTTCCGATCAACACTCATGAGATGACACATTCATTGCGCCCCCTCCCTCTCTCTCTCTCTCTTTCTATCTGTCTTTCTCTTTGTCTTTTTATCAGTTTTATAAACACAAACTAGTTAGTAAAAGAATGCAGATCACTCCCGTTTTTTTTGTCTTATAAAAAGAAAACATCGTCAGTCAGATAGATTATTTTTACATGTCAAATGTTTTGTGTCAGTTCATCTAGTTGAGAGAATAGATTGACTGGTTTGTTTGTTCAAACAATGTGTCTAATTGATCGTCATCTCCAGGTTTTTCTCGCTATTCTGTATATATATGTATCTGTACTCATATCGAGTATCCATCGCAGCAGAAAGCGTCCGATGTTTGACCTATATCTTGGTCGTCCCGTCATATCGGACATCCCGACAATATCAATCAGGGAGACGTTCTGCTGTTTGGCCATCGTCCCTTTCTCGTTTCTCTGACCGTCCCTATCTCTATCTATTGTTTTTGCCCTGGCAGATGATGAGCATTTACAGCAATGAAGAAGAAAAAAAAGAAAGAAAGATGAAGACATCCTCGAGCAAGCGAGAACAGATAGATAGCGACCATTTCTCGTCTTCCTTTTCAAGAACAATTATTTGAAGATGCTATCGAAGGAGAAAGAAGAAGAAGAGCAAGAGCAAGAGACAGAGAGAAAGAGAGAGAGAATGTGAGCAATCTGGCGGCGGGCGACCGATGCCCGAGCAACAAAAACAAAACACAAGAGAGAGGGAGAGAGAGAGAAGACGACTGTCACTGCTAATCACGCGTCGATGATGTACAACAACAACAGAACACCTTTTTTCTTATTTTTTTCTCTCTCTCTCGTTTACATTTGCAGTAGTTGACCATAGGTCAATCAGAGACAAAGAGATAGAACAACATACTACAATAATTATTTCGTGAGCTAGAAGAGACAATACAATGGTTGGTTATATGATAAAAAAAAATAAAGCAACGGTAAGACAGATATAAAATTTCTTTTTTTTCTTTTTTTTCTTTTTCTTCTTCTTCTTCGTCTTCTTCTTATTTTCTCTTCTTTTCATTCGTGCTTTTAATAAAAAAAGAGACAGATGACACTTGTCCCATTGGGTGACAGAATCGACTAATAAGATTTGTGTGCGACAAAATGACATATACCGATAAATATACACATAAGAAATACGATGGACAAGGTGATAAATCAAAATACCACCTTGTCATAAGGACGACATTGTTGAAAATGGTTTGTCGACATACTACTAACGTATATAGATGAAAAGTGACATGGATCGGAAGTTGTTTATGGAAGAACAACGATGACAACGACAGGCAAAAGCAGCTTTTCTTTTCTCGTCGCCAGCATCATATAGAACGAAGCCCATCATGGCAATTTGTCATTTTTGACGTGCTTATCACTAAATTCATTTTTACGTAGAACAAGCACGTACATGCACACACACATAGACATCGACACAAAAAAAAGAAGAGGGAGAAGAAGGAGAGAAGGCAAAAAATCGTGGCCCATAAGGAAAGGAACATGGTTGAGGGTCAGAACAAGCAATTGAGCGAGCGCACAGCATTACAAGTGCAGAAATAAGGAGAAGACGATCATTCGATATAGTTGTTTGTCTCATTAGAACCCTAGTGTCATCCGTGACCACCCGTTGGTCCCTCTTTCTCTCTCACTGGTAGTTCATTATTTTTCTCTCATATTGTTGCTCTAATCGCCGACACATGTTTTCGCATGTCGATGCTATAGACACACACAGATGAGGTCGTTGTGATCAATCACTATGGACATTCTCTAATTTTTACAAACGATGACATTGTTCTCTTATATGTGTGATGGGACAGACACATGTGTATGCATATGTATTCGAAATATTTTTTCTTCTGCTGTCTGTTTTCGATTAAGAAACGAGATGAAGAAGAAAAAAGAAAAGAAAAAGTGAATGACGAATGAGGCACAAGTGTAGTTTCGATTGATAAGACCTGCTGTGTCTTCTTTTTCTTATGCTTCTTCGTTTTATGCTTTTTTTCTCTTATTGCCTTTTATAACAATCAGTTTGCTTGTTTTATAAATGACATCATTTGCCTTTTTTTTGTCTCTTGCTAATTCGAAGTTAATGTTTTTGCTCATCAAACGAAAAAATTGTATCTATTCGATCGTATGTGTGAGTGAGTGTGTGTGAATCTCAAATTTCTATCAAGAAGAAACCCTGATGTGATGAAAAGCACAATGTGTGTGTTTATGTCATCACCAGAAGCATCAGCAGCCGTACGAAAATTCCACTGATAAGCACGATGTCTATGTGCGCGAAAAAAAGAAGAAGAGGACGAAGCAAATGATGGAAGATGCGAGAGAGAGAGAGAGTCATAAAAGAAGAAGAAGAAGAAAAAAAGTGTGAGTGTCGAATATGTGCGACCAATCGAAATTGCTCGATGCTGCATTGTCATTCGTCGCCTTAATCGAAATAACACTCAAAAAAGCATAGAGAGAGAGAGAGTGAGAGAGCAAAGAGCGAAGAGAAGAAGAAAAAAAATAGAAAAAAAAATTGTCGTGCGTGCTTGTATGTTTGTGACTGTCACATTGGTTCGTCGCACGCACATATTGAAAGAATGAAGGTAGTAATAAAAAAGGCGTAAGACAAAAATTTCGTACAAAACAAATTCAAAATTGATTTTCTTTTTCCTTCTTTAGACTGTATTAAAGTGTAACATTGCTGATTGTCATTGCGAAAAATTTTTTCGTGGTAATAGTTGCAATTTATCAGTACGTTCATGTGACGAATGCAAACATAGTTTTGTTAATCATGGTAAGTTTTTATGAATATGAAAAAAATAAGAAATTTACTTACATTTTTTTTCACAGTTATTAATTTAAATGAATTAGATTCTGATGAAATTATAAAACATTTAACTGCTGAACATATCTATGAATTATGTAGACTTTGTTTATATGGTACAACCGTTATATCACCACGTATAAAAATTTTACTTGATCACATATTAGATACATTAACTCAAGCTGAACGAGATAATATATTAAAATCTTTAAAATGGTCTATTGATGATTATGAAAAATCTTACATAGAACATGTAAGTATGATTTTAATTATTTAAAAATAAAAAATTTTGTTTTTCTCTTTCTCTCTCTCTCTCTCTCGCTCTTAATCCAGACATGTTGTACCAGAATGAACACCAGCTTTTTTTTGTTTCTATATTGACCGAAAGAAATTAATCTTCACTCTCTTTTCCCTCTCTTGTGCTTGACTAATGTGAACTCAATTACGAAGAGATGAAATATGATACTTAGTTTTTTTTCTGCTTTGTCCATTGAGAAACAATCTTTCGATCGATAGAATTATTTGTCAATGAACCGGATAATTTCCACTTCTAGACCTTCATATATATGCCACATATCAATATATATATATATTCACCCTTGAACTTGTGACCATTTTTAAAAATAGTATTAGAGAGAAGAAGAAAAAAAATCTCATCAACATGATGGTTTGGATTTTTTTTCTGGGATTTGTCATTTTTGAAATTGCATCGTCTTTTTATGATACAAACCAGAATGCGATAAGTGTAATCATGAAGGATGCCCGACATCGAATGTCATGCAATCGATTGATCTTTGTATTCACCGTATTTATTATATACTTGTCGATGAGCTGTTCTATTTGACTACCGACACCTTCAATAGAACAACGTAGGGTCTGATCACAAATGTGTCAAGTGTCGACGACTATGTAACTTTTATATTATTATTGTTCCTTTGTTTTTATTTTTCTTTATTGGAATTATCATATTAATGTTAATTGTTTCTTATAGAATTTCAATAATTCATCATCAAATTTCAATTTAATAATGCCATCCTCCGACGAAGAAGATCAATATTTATTACCCCAATTTCTTCGTTTTGAATCAACTCGTTTACTTGCACAATATTTCCTTCAAGTAGCTCAACAACAACGTATATCCCCACATTGTCCATCATCAAATGGTCGTTCGCCATCACCATCAGCGACTGAATCAAAACCAACAAATTTTTCATCAGCAGCACTATCTTTATCTGTACCACCACCAACATTACCATCAGCTACAACACCAAATGTTTTACTTCGTCCACCAGGACCATTTCCATTTCCATCACCATGGCCATCAACTGATATTCAAATGATGAATTTACTTATGGCACAATTATCAAATCCTTTAATGATGAATTATGATTTTCGTCGTATTGGAAATAATCTTTTACCAACAGCAGCTGCTGCCGCTGCTGCTGCTGCGGCGGCTGCAACAAATATGTCTTCACTTTCAAATTCATCATCAAAAAATGAAGAAACAAATGGTAAACATTATGATTTACCTGAAATAAATAATAATGAAATTATAAGAAAATCTTCAACAAAACGTAAACGTCTTTGTTCACCATTGAATCTTTCAACAACATCACGTTCACCAAATGATTTACCACCATCAACTGAATCTATTGCACGTATATCTGATAGTTCATTATCATCAACAACAAGTAGTTTAACAAACAATACCAATAATAATAATAATCATCATCATACACATACAAATAATTTATCGACAACAACAACATCATCATCATCAGCAGCAGCAGCACGTAAACGTCTTTCATTAAGTGAACAACGTATTTTAGTTAGTCCACATGGAAAGAAACGTGTTCAATGTAATGTATGTATGAAAACATTTTGTGACAAAGGTGCACTTAAAATACATTTTTCGGCTGTACATTTACGTGAAATGCATCGTTGTACAACACCTGGTTGTACAATGATGTTTTCATCACGACGTTCAAGAAATCGTCATTCAGCTAATCCAAATCCTAAATTACATTTACCAAGACCAAATGCAATGTCTCATCGATATCATACAACTGGTCCGATTATATCTGATGGTAAACATCAATCACAAGTTAATTTATATTTAGATGATGAAGATGATAATATTTCATCAAATATATCATCTTCGATGGATGATCAACAAGAAGATGATCGAGTAGAAGAAGAAGAAGAACTTGTATCATAAAAAAACGAAAAACAACAAAAAAAACACTCTAATTAAATAAAACTATTCTTTCCATTTACATTTCCAAGTTCTCTTTTTTTCCTTTTTTTTTGCTTGTATCGTTGTCATTTCTTTTTTTTTCGTTCTTTCTCTTTTCTTTTTTTTTTCTTCTTCTTCTTCTCTTTACTTATATAAATATATATACATTGAAAAATTTGCAATCTGCACTCTTGTAATTTTTCCCATATCAATGATGATGATAGTTGACAACAATAAACGATGGATATGTACGTCAAGTTTTATTTGTATACATAGAAAAGAGAGAGAGATTAATTGAAGTATGTTTGTCAACGCTTACGGGGTAAGACAACCTGACGTTTGTATTCCCATCGCATTGACCCTTGTCCAATACTAATGACTTGTTTTTTTGTGCCATCTTTTGTCTTATCTACCGATTGTTCATCAAACAAATGAGCAAACATACGCGTTGTCTATTCTAATGACAATCAGTTTGACCTTAAGACATGATTGGTTAGTAGGTATTTCTTCTTCTTTTTTTTCTGTTTCGTCACTATATATATATGAAAGTCGATCTCTGTTGATATCGTTGTGCCGTGTGATTTTTAATGAATTGATTGACTCGCGCGCGTGTGCATGTGCGATCGAGTGACGTCGGTCGTTTTATGATTGTGTCTATGAGTTGTACACCTCGTTTTTCTCCTTTTCTCGTTATTAGTTATGGCAAGGATGCGAAACAACTGAATGAAACATGTGTCGTGATTCGTTTCGAATACTTCATATAAACTATTGATGCCATCAATTTATTATATAACAATGAAAAAAGAAACGCTCAGTATTATATTATCTATATTTTATAATTAAAAGTTCAACTTTTTGAATGTCAAGAATTTCTTTTATCAAACACAAGAGAAATTTAATAAAATGATTTTTAACGAACATTATTGTTCATGTAAATCAACTAAAATGACTTGTCTAGTTTTTTTTTGAAAAATGTATTCTATTGAATTGTTCTATCAACATGAACTTTCGATGATTTATCATGTAATGATCAAAGAGAAGCGTTCATGAGATTTGTATATCAAGAGTATCTATATATAAATCAACTTTAAAAGACACTAAAATAATAGTTATTTTTTTTTTGAATTAAAGAAAATGTTTAACAAATTTTATGGGTTAATCGTTTTATTAAAAATGAAAACTTTATTTCGAAATAAAGTTCAATTTAACTGTTCTAATAAAAGAAATAATCGAATAAAAAAATCTAGTTTCATGTTGTCTTATTAGTGGATATTCTGACAAGATAATCAAGGAAAACATCAGATATTACTTGTAATAGATCAACATCATTTTTTTGTCTATTCATTGCAACGATATTTATATACGAAAAGTATTGATAATGATTAGAAGAAAAACAATATTGCTTATGTAATAATTGTTATTTTTACCGATGATAATAAGACATCGGAATAAAAAAATCCTGAGTTGACTTCTATATATTCATAACATAGTAATTTCTTGTCAAAAAAACGTTGAGTGGTGTCTAGCATAATGTTTATATATATACATTCTCAGACATATTTGACAAAACAAATGTCAAAGAGAGCATATAATATATTAGTCAAGATTTTTTCTCTGTGTAATTGATTCTTCTATTAAAACCAAGATCTATATTCATTAAGACAAGTATTATATTGAGTTCAAGATTGTCGATGATTTATTATGATTAACATTAAACCCTTTGACATTAATGTATATATATTATCAGTGTAGATTTTACATCTGAGTCAGGATATGTTTTTTTGTAAATAAATATGAGATTATTTCATCTAGTTTTTGGCAGATTTATTCTTTCTTTTACAATCAATGTTATTTTTTCAATGCCAGCATAAGGTAAAATATATTTATGTCTTACAAATTAGAACAAATGTTTTCATATTCAAGAATTGCTGAAACACTATCTTTTATAATATTATTGTCAATTAGGAGAAAAATTTAGATTTATTAATCAAAATTCAGTTCGTTAGGAGAATAATTATTATCTTTGACCGTGTCGTATAACTTGGAACGTTTATTGTATCGACTTAAAATTGAATTAAAACCATAGGGATCGTATTCTTCACGTCGTACATGACGAGGATTGGGCATTATTGGTAATGTTTCTTCATCGTAAGAAGATCGAGATGCGTATGGAAATGCATGGCTAAATGTCATTGTTAAAAAAGCGATGAGAATAAAGAAGTGTACTAAAATATAAATATTAAATAGAATTAATAAAACTATTTATCTTATCAAACCTGATTGCATTGCTTTATAGATTTTTGTTATTTAGCAGTTAACTTGTGCAATGTAATCGATTGTAATTTGTTTCTTTTATTTTTTGTAAAATATGCTCTATTTATACTATTGAAATCCTTTGAAGATTGTGTAGGATAAACAATTTTCTAAGAGTAGTACTTACTATATTCTTTCAAGAAATTAGTTAATACAAAAAGAAAACAAGTTTATAAAGTAATTCTGCTTATCTTTTTATTAAAAGGAAATATCCACTTGTTTCATTTGATTGAATTAACGATACTTTTTTTTAATTAGATTTCTTTGCAATTGTTTGGGGAAAAATTACAAAATCCTTTTAGTAGGACGCACTCGATAGTATCCGTTACTTGAGAGATTTTGAGACCATGTTCAGGATTGTAAAACAAGAATTTTAGCACTCCTTTCAAACAGTGTCATAATGACAGAAAACTTTTAATAGGATATTAACTAATATATTCATGTTAATATTATCCATACGTATAGATTGATATTATGGACTTTATACAGATTAATTTCAAAGAAATACATTAGGTGTAATCGAAATTACAGGCTTTGCAAATATTTCCAATATCATCTATCAAATAAACATTCATAAGAGATTGTTTTAAATAATAAAAAACACGATGTATTGTTATGATCAGCTAACACGCAGTAATGCATCTATAATAGATATTCAAATTTAATAGTTCGATGTTAATTCCTATTCTAATAATATAAATATTTTTAAAGTACAATTACTGTATTATTGGATTTTGCGTATTGTTATACAGTGTCATCTATCGTTTACAAGCTTATATTGTCCATTGATTCTCTCCAATAAAATAGTAATCATTACTTAATATATCGAAAAGTAGATTTTCGGCGTAATACAATATACTATTAAAGATTTCATAAATGGCATCAAAACGACCTGAACATCAAGGTCCACCAGATATTGTATGTTAATATATATATGATAAGACAATATGTATCGTTTCGATAATCTTTTTTTTTCAGTTTTATAACGAAGAAGAAGCTCGAAAATATTCACAAAAGTAAATTTTGAATATTTATAAATGAATGAATAGTATTTTCTTTTTAGTACACATATTATTGATGTACAAACGAAATTATCTGAACGTGCTATTGAATTACTTAATTTACCTGATGAAGAATCATGTTTAGTTCTTGATGTTGGGTAAGCAAAAGAATTATTTCTATATTGTTTATTATAAATTTTTTTTATTCAGATGTGGTTCTGGTTTGAGTGGAGAAGTTCTAACAGATCTCGGGCATCAATGGGTTGGACTTGATATATCAAGTTCAATGTTAGGTTTGTTTTTTTGAACTAAATTTAATGTTTATGATAATATTTTATTTGATAGATGTTGCACAAGAACGAGAAGTTGAAGGTGATCTTGTATTAGGTGATATTGGTTATGGAATGCCATTTCGTGCTGGAGCATTTGATGGTGCCATTAGGTAATAAATGATTTATTTGATTAGAATAAATAAATAAATATCGAAATATTCCTTTTTTTCAGTATATCAGCATTACAATGGTTATGTCAAGCTGATAAAAATTATCATAATCCAATAAAACGACTTTATAAATTCTTTTCAACACTTTATAGTTGTTTGGTAATTTAAATAAAAAATTTTACATTGAAATTCTTTTGAACAATTGTGTTTTAGGCTCGCGGAGCACGTGCTGTACTTCAATTTTATCCAGAAACACCAAATCAAGTAATGTTTGTTTGAACTCGAAAACTTTTCATCTTTGTCTTTCAGGTCGATATGATTACACAACAGGCTATGAAAGCTGGTTTTACCGGTGGTCTTGTTGTAGACTATCCAAATAGTACTCGAGCAAAGAAGTATGAAACACTCATTAAATAAATATATATATTTTTTAAATTTTGTATAAAGAATGTTCTTATGTTTGTTTGCTGGTGGTCAAGTTCAAGAATTACCGACAGGTTTAACTGGTGAAGAAGGTAATGAAGGAGTTCGAACTCAAGCAAGATATGATACAGAACGGTAATAATAACAAATAGATAAATATAAACTACAAATAAATTTTTTTATTTTATAGACAACGTTATAGACATCTTCGTGGTAAATCATTAAAAAAGAGTCGGACATGGATTTTAGAAAAAAAAGATCGTTGGAGAAACAAAGGAAGGTATGTAATTAATTTTTATAATGGAAAACAAAAAACAATTTTTATAATGAATTATTTTTTTAATTTAGAGATGTTCGTCCCGATTCAAAATACACGGCTCGAAGACGGCCAAAACCTTTTTGAACTTTTTTTCTTGTCATCAATGTTATTGTTTTGACAAAAAGAAGAAAAATAATATGATTCATTTATATTACAGTAAATGTAATCATAAACATAATTTTTTTTTAAATTTGATTAGTGGGTGTGGTTTTAAAGTCTGTGAAATGAAAACGAATTAATTGTAACTGGCGAGAGAAAAGTATGACAGACAATATAGCTACGAAAAAAGCAATGAATTGGGGAAAACAACGCAAAAGAGTGAGATGCTGGATCGGTCTTAATCACCGAGATTACGAGAAAAGAGTTTGTTGGAAAAAATGATGTGTAATTTAATATATGAATACCAGCGAATTGTGTTATATCAAAGAAATCTATGTTCCTAAAAGGAATATAAAGATATCGTTTTGTTGAAGTACGATATATGTTTTCTGTACTATTCGTAGAAATTATTCATTGCATAACATGTTCGAAAATCGAATATGAAAGAAATCAATTTAGGATATAACTGTAGTTTACTACAGTATTTCTCTCTGAATTTTTCTTCTGTATAAATGACGTCAATATTAGATTGATAGTTTCGCATGAGTTCTGATATGTACAAATTTCTGGTCATTTTTATTTTGCTGAAAATCTCCGATATATTATAGAATTTTTATCTTTTTAAATAAAAAAAATTATGAGTGATTTTAATTTAAACAATAAAGTTTTATAGATTGTATTTAAACTAATGGCTTTTGAAATAAACTTTTCGATCATCAACGATAACTTTCTTTACTCTCGACATCAATTCTACAAACAATACTTATTATATAATGTAAATGAAAAATATATTATGAATGTGATCCAATAAAAGTAATAAAAACATAATCAGGTTAGAGATTGACACTCAGATTATGTGAAATCTCAAACTATGATTTCTTTCGGAATATATTACTGAATACAAAGTATTTATTTATACTTTAAATTTATTTTTAGATTTTTAGAGTAATATAAATCAAAATAAAAACTTCAGGACATTCAAATTAAATATGAATAGATCATAAAAATGGTGAATTGGAATTAGATTCATGAAAGATAACAATTGGACTTTACACGAATGTATATTTTTGATTATGGAAAGACGTTCTTTTGACGCACTCAATGCCTTTATGAAGCTCATATAGAAAAATGCAAATGTTAGTTATAAGACTAGAATTTTGAACTTCCTTTATTCCCCATAAGCAATTGCCTTTCGGTGACAATCAAGCGAGTTTAAGTTGACATTGAGAATGTTTCGCTCTTCTCTCGTAGCCCTAGATTCTGTTTTCATAGCTGTTGAGCAACAAGAGTTTAGAATATTTTCACATTTCTTTTTTGAAAATTAAGATTGATGTCAAAGATAACGGATAGTCATATTCTTATTTACCAATCATTATACTCATCAATATAGAAAATTTAAACTAATTTATTTGTAATTTTTGAAGACAATCAACATATATAATAGCATATTGTGATTTGTTGCATGTATAATAGATGCATCTGTCAGTTAAATTAATGGTTATTAGAATAAAAAACAAGATGGTAATTTAAGAATAGATGAAATAAATAAGATCGATTGTTTCTTTTGCCAACTGATTATATATGAAAAGTTAGTGTTTTCTGTTCTAAACTATTTATTTTACATCTTCTGATTATCATAATAGAACTAAAGAAAGATATGTGAATTGCATATCTTAGTCCGTAAAGAGGTACTACCGACAAATATTGTTTCACATAATTCATGACACATTTTTCTATTCATACTTCTATTTGATTTTCTTTAGCAATGTATACATTGAAGTATGTCTTTTTTATTAATATATTTAGAAAAAACAGTTAATGTAGATGTCAATGTGAACTTATTTATTGCAGTTTTATTAATTGGTAAAAGTAAATAACTTTTTATATATATCTTTAATGATTTTTTTATATAAATAGAACTTTTCTTTATTCTATTAATAATTAGATATTCTCGTAATACCAATTAACTTTCGAACAATAATACATTCAACTAAATGAATACAATTTTTTCTTTCAAAAAAAACCTAATGTAATTAAAATATTTATAGCAATAGAAAATGTCTTTTAAATAATATAGATGAGAGGAAAATTTGAAAAAAAAGAACAATTTTCAGTAACTATGAATATGCGTTGTAATCATTTCTTCGGTTAAATTAGTGCATTTTTCTTACCTAGAATATCTAGTATCATTCATCAAAATAGACATTCGAATAAGTCATAATAACTGCAGTAGTATATGTTCGTAACAATGATGACAGAATAAGTAACACGAGGATGTCTAGCATTTACGTTGCCTAGAAATGACTATTGAATAAGAAAGTTGTTTTAATTTCATGAGAAATGGTTATATACCGAGACAACCCATGTAAATATACTGCGAGTACTTTTTTTTTAACGTTTTTGACATTATATTATTACTTTGTTAGTATTTCCTATCTAGTTTACAACTATATGTGGATTAAAGGTCATCATATCTTTAGATTAATGTCTAATTAGAATTTTGCACATGAATAGCTAAACTTCATTCACTAAAGGATTCGTGTTTGAATAGGTTGTCACTTGTTTTTTTTTTATAATTTCCTTTTATGAAACGTATAAAATACGGTGAATCACTAGAGATTATCTCTGTCTAGTTGATACACTCTTCAGTAACATATGACATTTTTACTACACTCTAAAAAACAATTCGGTATTTATTACTATCGGAAACTGTCTCCGGATTTACGAGCCATCTAAAACCTTTTCTTAGGCGTTTCCGAGCCTTCGGAAACCCGGAGAGAGTTTCCGATAGTAACAAATACCGAATTTGT